AGCTGGGCACGGGGCCCAGGGTTGGGCCCCGGTCTCGGCGCTCTCTCTAGCTCCCTCGGCGCGGGAAGGGCGGCTTGATCTTGGCGCGCGCGCTCCGGCCGCTGCGGGGTCGCGGCCCTGGTCCGCGGGGTTCGAGCTCCGGCCGGCGGGCCTCGGGCTGCCTACGCGGGCGTCGTGGGAGCGGGGCCTGGCCTGGTGGGGGCTGCGGGAAGCGAGGCGTGGGTGGCGGTTGGCTCCATGTGGATCTCTATCTCCCTCCGCATCTGAACACAGGTGCGAACATCTGTAAGACGCCGTTTGATGTCCGCGTAATCCCAAAATTTTGTAGACGCAGGAGGCGTTGATCTCAAAGTGCCAGAAATAAGCTTCCTAGTGTTGTGATTCGCTCCACATTCTGGAGGGAGCAGTTCGTTGCTTCTTGTCCCGATTCGAGAGAAAGGGGCAGCGTCGATTAGGTGTGGCCGTCTGGGGGAGGGGGGCGCGGAGGGCGACCTCCAGTAGCTTTGTGCAGATCCTGACTTCCATCTCGCAGCCGCTTAATCGTGTGGGCTTTCTCCCAATTTCAGTGTTCGAGGATACCGTGGAGGAGCGTGTCATCAATGAAGAATATAAAATCTGGAAGAAGAATACACCGTTTCTGTATGACCTGGTTATGACCCATGCTCTTCAGTGGCCCAGTCTTACAGTTCAGTGGCTTCCTGAAGTGACTAAGTAAGGGTTTCTGGCAACTTTAATTTTGCGAACATTTAAGTGTCCTGATGGATTTTCTAGTTTGGGGCGTTTTTCATACGTAGAACCCGAGCCACGTAATGGATGAGATGGTAGAAGTTTGGTATTTTCAAAATTGAAGTGGCTTAGGGGATCATTTCTGATGTGTGAGTGCCGCTGTTCCCTGATTGTAGGAAATGCAGAATGTATTTTGATTGACCTTTCTTGCTTCTAGATATAAAGCATTATCTATGAACCACAGATTAATGTGTTTCTGTACAAGTTTATTGGAAAAGGTATGTACACAGAAAAAATACAACGATGGGAGGCTTGATGAATTTTTCCAGAGTGAATATACACTATGTAACATGTACTCAAGATGAATGCCTTTTAATTGGCAAAAGGAAAAAGAATATGGCAGCAATTAATCAAAGTGTGTTGTTGGCTTATGGTATGAAATGTGCTTTGAGATTGTTAATCATCTTTGTAAGAAGTCGGCTAGTTCTAAAATGCCCTTGAGTAATAAATAATCACTGATGCTTACAGAAGAACACCTAGAACAGGGCCTGTCACATCTGAAGAGTTTTACTTCCTATGGCTTGGTCTAATCCTCCACAGTAAGGGGATAATAGTTTTTATCAACTCCGTTTTGCTGATGAGAAACCCTGAGGTTGGTAAATGGTGGCACTGACTTCAGGATGAAAACAGCTGGCTGAGTCCCGGCAGGCCCTGCACACTCCCCCTTGTCTCATACATGCCTCTCATTTCTATCAAGAACTTGGGCAGGATTTTTTTGTTTTGTTTTTTTTTTTCACGATTGTATTTTTTTTGTTAATGCACTGGATTTCGGTGTTTTAAGCATATAATTCAGGGGGCATTAAATCCAACTAACCTAGAAGGGAATTTTGTGACCATTTTGATTTTATATAAAATGAATTTACTTTTATTACGATGGCTAAATTCTTCAAATGCGAACGTTGACCATTTATTGGTATTCCTAAAAATCTTAAGTGCCCAGGTGCAAGAAGAGTAGCCAAGATCCAATTAATGGAGACTTGAAAACATTGGCATTTATAGCCACCTTTGAATAGATTTTTAAAATAGAAGGTATACTTACAGGTATTCAAGTGTTGAGCATCCTGTGCATTTGATGCCCTGTGTCTTCCTATTAAGCAGATTTAAAACTTTTCAACAATTTACCTTTTCTTGGACCGGGAACAAGGGCTGGCTCTAAGGTTTAAGCTTAGTGTTGAGGCTGAAGATAGGAATAGTTTTGTGACCTGGGGTAAGTTGTTAACCCTTATTCCCAGCCCTCCCCCCATTTGTAAATGGAGAAGTTAATGCTGGATGCTTACACTGAAGTCAAAGTCTCTGGGACACAGTAAGTGGCGGTGGATGATGATTCTCTAACTTGCTGTGCAGGAATTACTAGGATTTTAAAATGCTATCTGTAATGCGTTTTGCATTAACAATAATGGATCTATATGAGGAACAGATCTGCATGTTAATAGTAAAAGACGTGGCTTTTACTATTGTTAACACTTAAGAACTTGTTTTAATTAAGTGAATTATTCCATGGCGTTCTTTGCCTACAAAGAGGTTGTGGGATCTGGTTGTAGGGTGGGCAGTGCTGCTGTGTGGTGCTTCAAGGGTTCGGTGTGGGGTGGTTGTTGTGAAGTGCCGTTGAGTTGGTGCTGACCCATAGTGACCTTGTATAGGGTTTCCAAGGAGCAGCTGGTGAGCTTGAACCGCCGACCGGCTTTGCAGTCTGGTGCATTAACCCACAGCACCATCGGGGTGGGGTGAGGGTATTTATCACTGTACGTAGCAGTAAAAATGTTGGTCACTGGTGCTGTAGGATCAGCACTGGACTACTACCTGCAGGTTGGCAGTTCAAATCCACCAGCTGCTCCTTGGAAACCCTACACAGATAGCTGTGAATCGAAACCGACTCGACAGCCTTGACAACATCATCTTACAACCTGGCTGTTTGAAGAGCTAGACCCTACTCCATTTCATTCTGCCTACATGAGGAGCCCTGGTAGCACAGTGGCTAAGCACTTACCTGCTCTCTAAAAGGTTGGTGGTTCCAACCTACCAGGTGTTTCCTTGAGAGAAAGAAGGCAGTCTGCTTCTGTAACAGTGACAACTTAGGAAACCCTTTGAGGCAGCTTATACTGTCTTGTTGGGTCTCTGTGAGGTGTAATTGGATGGCAATGGGTTTGTGGGGTGGGGGGGTGCGTGGGAATTCTGCCTACATATAACATGCTTCTTAGCAATGACTTGAAAATTATAAGCGGCTTTTAAATTGAACTGTGTAATATATTTAAATATCTATAAGAAGTTTTTTAAAAAACTGGTAGGTTATTTCATATTTCTTAATAAATCCTTTGTTCATTAAGAATGACTTAATTCTTTACCAAAAAAATTTTGTAATCTTTCAAATCCAGACTGTACAAAGTATATAGTAAACCAAACAATTGTTTAGCCTAACTAGCTAAAAAGTTCTGTTTTGAGCATTGTGCTCTTTTAAGAACTATCTATGTGGGATCAACTTGAAGACAGCAACTCAAAAGAAATCTCCGAGGGCAGTGGGTTTATGTTAATGAGGGACAACTTAGAAAAGGAGGGTGAGAATGATTGCACAACTTGAAGAATGCAATCTGTTGCAGAGTTATACATGTAGAAACCGTTGAATTGGTGTGTTTTGCGGTGTATATTCTCAACAACAAAATAAAAATTTGTAAGTGTGTAATGAAAAATGCGTTCCCCTTCCACATCCCCTTTTCTCCCAGTTCCCTTCCCAGGAGCAGTCGTTTTCTTTCTAGTTCTTCTGTGTCCTGCCAGCATATAGATGTATGGACTGTGTTTTAAGGTAGCAAGTGTTCACCTGACATTTTAAGAGTATATTGGGGCCGTTGATAGCCACATGCTTAGGTACATTTCATTCTTTTTAAGGGCTGCGTGGGATCCTATTTATGGATCTACTATAATTTATGTTGGAGTCCTGGTGTGGCACTGTAGGATAATATGCTGGACTGCAAGGTCAGCAGTTCAAACTCACCAGCCGCTCCTCAGAAACCCTATACAGAGTTGCTATGAGTTGAAACCGACTCTGTAGCACTTAACAACAGTGACTCATGTTACCAGTTCCTTATTGATGGGCATTTAGGTGGTTTTCAGTCTTGCTACTATACAGACACTACTGCCCAAGAATAATCTTGTAGTTGGACACACTTAGGTGATTTGGGTGAATTTCCTAGCAGAGATTTAGGATTCTGGCATAGAAAAGGGACAAGCTCTTTTAAGAGTTTCCACTTGCTTGCTTTAGGAAAGGAAGTTTGTGTTTTAATGATGGAAGTGGGAGAAGTTAAATTCAAATGAAAAACCTTTATATGGTAGTCAAGGTAGAGAAAACGAATTACTTAATATCGGAGTCAAGGATTTTTAAACTCCTGGTGTCCATTTTGGGATTGTTCACCTTAAAAAGCTCTCCTGATGAACTTATATGTCCACCTACAACTTTGACCTGTTTTACTGCTTAAACCCACTCCCACCTTCCCACCCCCCAAGTAGCATCATTGCTGATACCTTCTTTCTCTCAAGCATTCCTTTAAAAAAAATTTTTTTCCCCAATGTTTCTCCTGAGTTTTAAGTCCCCCTTTCATTCAAGCTACTATTCTCTGCAGATATTTCATTTTGTCTAATCACTCCTAAAGTACATGGCCTTACAGCTTAATTTCCTAAGTGGTTTTACCAGTTAGAAATCAGTGCAAGTGCCTAAGGGCCGCCCACTTGCTTGCTGTCCCTTTATATTGACACCATCACAGATGGAATTACCTACCTTCATATTCTTGGCCCACTGAGCAGTCATCAGCTAAAGATCCACAACTTTTTCCAGACGACTTTACTTGCTGTTGCTTAGCTACAACTACCTGTTTTTGTTCAGTCGGAGTCGTGTGTGGTGATGGTGTTCTTTTTCACTTTAAACAAAATCTTGGTTAAATTTCATCTTGTGTTTCTGTAGTTATTAACTAAATTGCATGCCTACAAGTAACCTTCAAACCTTTTTTTTTTTTTTTGTAACCACTGAATCCTTTGTACAACAAATTTAGAAACATCAACAGATAAATGGCCTAACTTATCTGGAATTGGGGCCCAGAGCCCTGCGTTTCATTTTCTTTGGTGAAGTGGGAACATGGAGTACAGTTGAAAATTATTGCAGATAATATAAATGAGAAAATAATGGTTCTGTGCCAGGTTTTTGCCCAGAGCAAGGTGTCCATATGTATTACTGGGTCCTTCAGCTTCAACATAAGCTACCACAGAACTAGGTAACAAAGACCTGTCAGTAAAATCTGAGAAATTTCTTAACATTAAAGCACCATAAACCTAAATAATAGGTTTCTACGTTGGACTTACCTGCTTTTTAGGTAAAGAAACAGGCCCACAGAAAAACTGGTTTAAGTAATTGCGTAGAGCCAATTTTAGTTTAAACTAGGACGTAACCCTAGTTTTTCTGACCTTTCCATTTTACCTCGTTGGCTTTCATTGGGAAATTGGAAATATCAAGTGTATTAAAATGGAACTGTGGACAGAAGGAGCTCTGGTGACGCAGTGTGGTTAAGCACTTTATTGCTAAGCTCAAGGTCGGCAGTATGAACCCACCAGCTGCTTCATCCTATCTAATTTCTATGAGTTGGTCTTAACTCATTGACATCACACAGCAGCATGGATAGAAGAGACATTTTCGATGTAAAGTCTTGATTGCTACAGATTTATGGGGCTCAGTGAACGGACTCCTGTGGTGGTGTGTTTACTGAGTTGGGCCTACCTTGCTTACAAGCTGCTCTAGACCCTGATACAGGAGCATGACTCTAGGAGGAAAGAAGCAAGTTGTGGCTAGAACAGTTCCTTCTGTGTGGGGATCTACTGTTGGTAAATAAAGTGGAGCTGGTTGGTATTTATTTAGTATATGTTTGTTGAAGACATTTTAGTGTATGAAGGAGCTTCATTAACTTCGTGGGAAAATTCCACTCTTAATTCCAGTTCTCCATGAACTTATTGAAACCACTCATATTTGGGGAGTAGGATTGGGTTTAATTTATTAGCAACTGGAGATTTCTTGTAGGACCAGTATGACTTCCTTTTCTTTCCTAAACAGACCAGAAGGAAAGGACTATGCTCTTCACTGGCTAGTGCTGGGGACCCACACTTCTGATGAGCAGAATCATTTGGTGGTTGCTCGAGTTCATATTCCGAATGATGATGCACAGTTTGATGCTTCCCACTGTGACAGTGATAAGGGAGGTAGGTATATCATATACTCCAGTATCAGTGTTGAAGGAAACATGCCTCTTTCTAAGCATTTGCTTGATTAAAACTTCATACTTAAGCCAAACACCTCATGAGGTTTGGTTCCTTGGTTTTGAGGTTTAGGGTCATGGTTTCATATGACCGCCCAGTTAACTGGCCTAATAATGTATAAATTTCTACCTCCTAATTCATTGACTAATGCCTGAGGTCTTAAAAGTTTGCAAATAGCCATACAAAGCACAATATTGCTCTCTTCTGGAGCAACAGAAGGAGAATCAGGAATAGAATTGGAATGTGTAGGTGATTGCTTCCATGAACAACTGCCTCCTTTGCCATGAGAACAGAAGTACTTGATGTCAGCTACCATCACTGAAGATTTTGATGAAAAGATTCCATGGAAGAATCCTGAGCAGATGGGGTGGGTAATGCATAGGAGATTTGTGCATTCTCATGGTATCCAGACTCTCTGGAGCCATGAAGGGTGGATGAAGCCCTGAAACTATTGCCCTGAGATAATCTTAAAACCATAAACCAAAGTATTCCCTGAAGTCATCTTCAAATGAAGCAATAGTTTATCTTAATTAGTAAAAACAGGTCTGCCTTTTAAGTATTAACATGCTTTTTTAAGAACTCCATGAGATCAACCTAACAAGAAGTTGGAAGATGCGATAGCAACCTAGGGGCCATGGGCTGATGGTAATGGGGGAAATACAACTCAGAAAAGGAGGGTGAGAATGGGTGCGCAACTTCAAGAATGACATGGGTGTGACTGTATTGTCCATGTAGAAATACTTGAATTTTGGTGTATGCTTTTCTATGTATCTTAACAAAAGAATGAAATTTAGAACAAAACCTTTATCTTTTGGCCTAGCAGGTTAATTTTAGGAGTTATTTCAATGTATAATTGTAATAGTCCATTTCTTGTCAAAATAAATATGGGTTGGTTGTAAGCATAGAAAAAATTTCAGGACTCATTTAGAGTGGTTCCTTGGAATCTGTGGGGGTTTAGTTTTAGAACCCCCTATGGATACCAAAAACCTCAGATGCTCAAAGACCTTTGTACAAAATGGTGTAGTGTTTGTCTATAACCTATGTACATCGTCAGGTATAGTTTAAATAATCTCTGGATTATCATATCAAGTATAGTGTAAAAGCTATGGAAGTAACATTTCACACTCCCTCTTAGCCTTTGAAGGATTACTTTGACCACTTAATCCACCCCAGTGGAGATTTTTGATTTGTGCGTGGTTGACTCCATGGATGAGGAACCTGTGGATATGGAGGGTCAACTACACCAACCAGTTAATAGTGGCTTTTTGAGAACAGGAGAATGGGATAGGAGGCAGTGGTAAAGTTAATCACGGAAGTTTTTCACTTCCTTTGTTCCTCAAATTGTCAAACACACATAACCACCCCCTGTTTTAGTAATCCCATGACCAGTGGTTTCACTCAGAAGACTTGAGAGCACATTATATTCATAGCTAAATTTTGTTGCAGCAAAGGATAGAGAACAAAAGTAGCAGGAAAAAGACAGGCATTGACCAGTATGGGGCAGTCTGGCACAAGTTCATTGTCCAGGGCCATACATGATGCGTTTTCTATCTAGCAGTGAATTCTAAGGACACGAGTATGATAGCTTTGCCCAGGGAAACCCTTTGAGTCTCTAGATTTGAGGCTTTAATTCATAGAGGGGAGGAGGGGCTGGTTAGGTACATCCTGCTGGCATTTAGCCATGGCAGCTGAACTCAGGACCCCATAATGAAACGCAGGTGTGCGTTATCAGTCTTGATGTTTTTGTACAAAGCAACCCCGACAAACTGGTGCAACATGGTCCGTTGCTCTAGGTGTAGACCTCAAAATCGTCAGTCCATCAGTGACAGAACATGCTGAGGTCCATGTTCCTGGCAGTTGACCATGGGTCAGTCATGGTTCTGGTGTCCTTCAAAGAGTCGAGGGGCAGGTATCCAGACGTCCGTTGTTAATGCTTTCCTCACAGCCCCAAATGATTTCATAAGTGTTAATGCTTGCCGATATTTTGCTGTTAAAGTTTTTTCCTGTTGAAAATAAATACAGCTAAAATTCCACCAACTCACTACTCCTTTTCTCACTGCCTTTCTCTACAGTTATTTGCTGTCCTGAAACTAGTGTGAGCCATTTTCAATTACTTGTATTTTTACTACTAATTGGAGTACTGGTGTGGCACTGCAGGATAATGCACTAGACCACAAGGTCAATTTGAGCTGCAAGGTTGGTTCCAACCCACCAGCTGCTCCTCAAAAACCCTATACAGGGTTGCTACAGGTCGGAATCGACTCAACGGGACTTAACATTTAAGACTCCTAGTGTGGCACTGTGGGATCAGCACTGGACTGCAAACCACAAGGTTGGCAGTTCAAACCCATCAACTGTTCCTTGGAAACCCTATATAGGGTTGCTATAAGTTGGAACCGACTCGATAGCATTTAACAACATTTAAAACCATGGTCTTATTTCTAGGGCCCCTTGTTTTTGTTGCAGGAGTCCACTAGCAGTTGCACCAAGTGCACAGTCAGAACCAACATCAAGTGTGTGGTAGGAAAAGGGTGGTAACTGAAAGTGAGGATTTCTGATACGTGGGTACTTTTCCTTTTAGACTCAAGGAATGCTCATATTCCTGGTGGTGAAACTTCTGTTTTAATAAAACTGCAAACGAGGCTAATATAATTCAGTGTTTCTAAATGAAATCATTGGTGTATTTAATTTGTGGTTATTTGAAATTTGAGGAAGTCATCCTTTAAGCTGAAGAAACTTGTTTTACATTCAAGGTAGAACTGAATTGACTTGCATAAAAATAGGTATCTGTTTTCCAGTGAAAATGGATTTTGAGAATAAATTGCCTCCTTGTGGCAAGTGAACCCTTACTTTTTTGTGTTTTATCCATTTAGTTAACCTAAGGTTAAAATCTGCTGTGTTAATTCAACTAACTGATGTGAGAATTTAAAACCCTAAATCTATGTCTTTCTTTTCCCTTGTATGTTAGAATTTGGCGGCTTTGGTTCTGTAACAGGAAAAATTGAATGTGAAATTAAGATTAATCACGAAGGAGAAGTGAACCGTGCTCGTTACATGCCGCAGAATCCTCATATTATTGCTACAAAAACTCCATCATCTGACGTGTTGGTTTTTGACTATACAAAGCACCCTGCTAAACCAGGTACATGGTGATGAAGTCAGACCATTTCTAGAACTTTTTCTTAATTCAAAATGGTGATCATTTTAAGCCAAACTCTAGAATACACTATAATTTTTGAAGGTTTACATTTGTATGGGTGGTCCTGAAGTCCAGTGGTATGCCAGAAGGACTCAACAGCAGGTTATCCCCACAGCTAAGGTTGATTACAACAAAGGAGACAGCAAAAGCAGCAAGTAAAAAGGCGATACATCAGGCAAAGTCCAGAGAGAAGACCCAGGCATCTGAGCCCTCCCCTATCTGGGACCACACAGGATGTGGTTTCTCTCTAACAGCAGACTATAGGGACTAAATGTCTAAATTTCTCTGTCCATGGAAGCCCGTATGAATCTGAGGTGGGTTTTTATGGAGGTGTGGTGACAGGTACAACCTGCCAGGTGGCCCATCATAATAAGTAAAATTCAGGACCCCAACAGTGAAATCAGGTACTTCATGAATCTTGCCAAATAATCTTAACAAGTTTTGACAAGGTAGCTGCTACAGCGTGCCCCATTGCTCTGGGCGTATACAACTTCATCAGACAGAGACTCACAGAACATTTCTAGAGGGCCACCCTCTCCAGGGTTAGTTAAGGTTACAGGTTACCCTGGAGACATTTAAGGACTGAACAAACAAACTTACAGTATTAACTTTTCCTCAAATAGGAAAAAAAATTTCCACCCCCCAAAAGTTGACCTATGGAGGTGTGTAGGGGTATCACCACTCAGATTTGTGGAGTAGAGCTACAGTTTTCAGTATTTCTATGTTAGAAAAAGAAGTTGGTCTTCTGTGACCTCGTTTGCATGGAACATTGAAATGAAGCACAAATAATTGCTTTTTAAAGCAGCTGTGAGTTAGAACAAGTTGTATTCTGTATGGTGCTTTTCCCAGCATTGTAATAAATGTTAAGGCTCACTAAGAAAGAAGTGAGAATTTGCTCACACCCATTCTAATAGCAGATAATGATGTAATTTCTTAATGTATATATATATATATATATATATATATATATATAATTTTATTTTATTTTTTTTCTTAGACCCAAGTGGAGAATGTAATCCTGATCTTCGTTTAAGAGGTCACCAAAAGGAAGGCTATGGTCTTTCCTGGAACTCTAACTTGAGTGGACATCTCCTGAGTGCTTCTGACGACCATGTAAGAAATGGGTTCTTTCTGACCTGCTTATATTTGTTGTTGTTAAGTGCCATCGAGTTGAATCCGACCCATAGCGACCCTGTATAGGGTTTCCAAGGAGTGACTTGTGAGCTTGAACCGCTGACCTTACGATTCAAACGACTTTGCAGTCTGATGCATTAACCCACAGTGCCAAAGGGAATGTCTTGGGCAGCTCTGCACTGGAAAACTACATAGAACTTTTCCACGATCTGCTGCTGATGATTGTGGGAATATCAGCACAGAATTTAAGAGTAGTGATTTTCAAAACAGCCCAGTGGAGCCTTGGTGTGGTGGGTGGTGGTTGTGTTCCCTGCCTGGAGTCAGTTCCAACTCACAGCGACCCTGTATTAGGGTTTCCAAGGCTGTAAATCTGTCTGTTTGGGAGCAGAAAGCTGCATCTTTCTTTCATGGAGTGGCTGGTAGAATCGAACTGCTGATACTGCGGTTAGCAGCTCAATTTATAATCCACTACACTACCAGGTCTCCTTTGTAGAGCCTTGTTGTTGTTAAGTGCCATGGAGTCGGTTCCAACTCACAGCGACCTTGTATAGGGTTTCCAAGGAGCGCCTGGTGGGTTTGAACTGCTGATCTTGTATTTCAAACTGACCCTGCAGTCCAGTGCATTATCCTCCACTCCTGGTGGAGCATTAGGAGTCCACAAAGCTCTTTTGAAGCAGCCTTAGAATTATAATAAATGATTTGAAAGAGGACCTTGAAGTTTTTGCCAAAATGGGAAGCCTACAGTGTCTACTTGTTTTCTGTTGAATATTAACATATTCACAAAGTTGTACAATTGTCACCATTACTTCCTTCTAGAATATTTCCAACAGATGTCCCCAAAAGAAACCCTGTGTCCTTTAAGCACACGCCACTTTCCCCTCCCCCCAGACCCCCCTGAGAACCTCTAATCTCTTTGTTTCTATAGATTTGCCTGTTTGGAGTATTTCATATACATGGGTCATAAGGTTCATGTTGTAGCATATATCAGTGTTTTGTTCCTTTTTATAGCTGGATAATGTATTCTATGGATATATCTATCGGTCGTAGCAAAGTGGTTACAAATCGGGCTATGAACCTTAAGGTCAGCAGTTCTAAACTACCAGCTGTTCCACAGGAGAAAGATGCGGCTTTCTGCTCCTATAAAGATTTACAGCCTTGGAAATCCTGTACAGGGTCGCTATGGGTCGGAATCGACTCAACAGCACATTTTATTTATTGATGGACATTGGATGGTTTCTACTTTTGGGCTGTTGTGTTGCTATAAACATTTGTGTAGAAGTTTTTGTGTGTCATATATTTCATTTCTCTTTGGTGTATAGACTTAAATTGTCAAAGTATTGGGTCATGTTAGAGCTATGTTTAACTTTTTGAAGAACTGCCAAACTGTTTTCCACGGTGACTGCATCATTTTACATTCCCACCAGCAGTGCATGATAGTTCCAATTTCTTCTCATCCTCACTAATACTTGTTACTGTATTTATGATGAAAGCCGTCTTAATGTGTGTGATGTGGCACTGTAGTATATGCACTGAACTGCTAACCACAAAGTCCGCAGATCAGACCCACTAGCTACTCTTCAGAAACCCTGTACAGGTTTGCTATGAGTTGGAATTGATTCAGCACTTTACACACAGCAAGTGTGTGTAAAGGTAGTATCTTCTTAATGGTTTTGATTTGAATTTCCTTGATTACCAATGACTCAGCATCTTTTAATGTGCCTTTTGGCCATTTGTATCTTTTTCAGAGCAATGTCTATTCAGACCCTTTGTCCATTTTAAAATGGAGTCCTTTGTTTTTATTATTGAGTTTTCAGTATTGTTTCATATTTTGGATATATGATAGAGGCCTTATCAGATAGATACATGATTTACAAATCTTTTCTCCCATTCTGTGAGTTATCTTTTCACCACCTTGACTGTTCCTTGGAGTACAAGTATTAAGTTTTGATGAAATCTATTTTTTTCTTTTGGTGACTCCATTTGGTGTTGCATTAAAGAAACCATTGCCTGATACGAGGTCATGAAAATGTACATGTATGTTTTCTTCTAAAAGTTTTAAAGTTCTTGTATTTAGGTCTTTGGCTTTTTCTTCTTTTTTTAATCTTTTTATTTTGAAATAATGCAGAAAAATTACAAGGATGACATAAGAAGTTCTCTGACCTCTTTTGAGTTAATTTTAGTGTATGATGTGAGGTAGGGATTTAACTTCATTTCTTGCATGTGGATTTCCAGTTATCCCAGCACCATTTGACATAAACGTTGTTCTTTCCTGCTTTTAATTACTTACTGCTTTAATAATATATGTTAAAAATATATAAAGTTAAAAATATATAGTGGAAAGTATAACAAAAAGGTGAAGTGATACTGTTAATTTAACATTGTTAGCCACTAGTAGCCTATATAGTGTCTCATGTATATAGCAAACAATATCTGGTATGATTTTTAAGCAAACAATATCTGGTATGATTCTAACCAAACATAGAACAGATTTCTGGGGCTTTGTAAGATCATGTATGAGGAGGCTTCAACAAAATTCATGGAAGAACTTCTTGAAGCCCCTTTGTAGAGTTCACAGAGTTCTGGTGGTGCTGTAGAATAGCCACTGGCTTGTTAGCTATAAGGTTCAAACTGACCAGTTGCTCCCAGGCAGAAAGATGAAGCTTTGTGCTTCATAAAGACTTACAGCCTCAAAAACCCTGAAAGGGTTACTGTAAGTTAGAATCAACTATAATGGCAGTGAGTTTGGTTTTGGTTTGATGTGTATAACTTGGTCCAAGTTGGCATTTGGTTTAATGAGCAAGTTTTACCTCAAGTGCCTAGAACATAGTCTGTCACATGATACACCTTTCGTTGATTCAGATTTCTCTTGAGCTGTTGGAAAATACTGAAAGTAGATGATTGCAAGATAGCTTAAGGTGCTTTTGTTTTAAGCAACCCAAACCAACTCTAGCTTACTTAACAGAAAAGGAATTGAAAACTTTCTTTCTGCGTCCTCTCCAAATATGTGTGGAAGAACTCCTCAATTAAGGAAGGAGGTTATACTCCATAACCTGATTATTGGTACCTTCTGAAGACACCAGGCTGGGACGTACTAGAACTAATAGCTGATACATACCCAAAGCTCCTCATGTGGCAGGCATCAGGCTAATCCTCATCAGTTGTTTTAAATTTTTTAAACTTGTTATTGTGAATTGGGTGACGGTTTACAGAGCAGGTAAATTCTACCTTCAACGGTTCATACACAGCAGTTTGTTTCATGTCATTAACTACAATTCTCGCAAGGTGACATCACTTCTCCCACTTCCTCCCTGTGCTGTGTTTGCATTTCTCCTCCTTTCCTAACTCTTCTGAACCCTTCCTTGGGTCAGTCCTACCCTTTTGATTTTTAAATGGTTGGTTGTCCAAGGTGTTTATACCTCCCTAGTGTTATTGTTACCTAGTAGACCTGAAAATTGAGTCATCAGGACGCGTTCATTTCCAGGCGTGACTAAGGACTACCACAGTCTTGGGACTTCGCCAATCCCTATCCAACCAATAAGCCTGGTTTCTTATAATTGTGAGTTTTGTTCCCGTTTTCCTCCCACTCCCCAGGACCTTCTAATTGATTGCTTTCAGAGCAGTTGGTAGTGGTTGGGTACCATCTAGTTCTTCTGTTCTCAGGGGCATCAGTATCCTGAGGAGAGGAGCAGGGGAGAAATGAGAGCAGCTCTGCGTATTCCTTTCTCTGCAGCACATGCAGAGAACAGAGACAAGGAACCCTAGTGGCACTGTGGTTGAGTGCTTGCCTTCTAACAGTCAGCAGTTTAAACCCATCAGCAGCTCCACAGAACAGAAGATCTGCTCCTGCAAAGGTTGATTCCGACTTGCAGTGACGCTATCAAAGAAAAAAGGAGTCCTGGTGTGGCACTGCAGGTTAATGCACTGGATTGCAAGGTCATTTTGAATCGCAAGATTGGTAATTCAAGCTCACTAACCACTCCTCAGGAAACCCTATACAGGGTTGCTATGAGGGAGAACCGACTTGACAACACTTAACAACAATAATCCTTGTGAAAGCAGACTGCTACAGCTTTCTCCCTTGAAGTGTCTGGTAGATTTGAACCCTCCAACTTTCCAGTTTTCAGCTGATTGTATAACCTATTGTGTTACCAGGACCCCTGACCTATAAAGATTACACCTAAGAAACTGTGAGGTACTTCTCGTCCTGTAAGCCAGAATAAACTCAACAGCACACAACCACAGAGTGTGTAAAATTATTTTTTTGTTAATCAGGAAATTGCTTTGTTCCGGAAACCCCTTCAAATAAGCTAGTCTTTTAAAAGTTGTTGTTAGTGCTGTCGAGTCGATTCTGACCCATGGCGACCCTGTAGAGGGTTTCCAAGGAATAGCTGGTGAGCTTAAACCACTGACCTTGCAGTTCAAACAAGTTTGCAGTCTGATGAGAGATGGCACTTATACCAATTGTTTAAATTACTCAGTGCTACTTATAACTAATACACGTGGATGGCTTTAATGTATTCTCTCAGTTTAGGAGGCTAAAAGTCCAAATTCAGAGTGCCAGCTCTGGAGAAAGATCTTTGCTTCCTTTCAGCATTTGTAGACCCAACATTCCTTGGAGTCTCTGTGTGTTGTTGGGCTTTTTTTTTTTTTTTTTAAGCGTTTTATTGTGATTTGAGTATAGGTTTACAGAGCAGATCATCAATTTTACATTCAATAAATCGTATACTTTGCTTCATTATATGGTTGCAATCCCCTCCATGTACTAACAGTTAACATCATTTACCTCTGTTTACTTTATTGCATTCCTCCCCATGTCTCCTGCTGCCTTCATCTTTCTTCTGCTAACCTCCCTCTTGTTGTATATTGTTTGCTGTCACCCATGCCATTTGGAAGTTCTGTACCTACACTAGTCCCTCTTTTTCCTTTGTAGTTCACTTCATTGTACATTGATATCTCTGGTTCTCTATTTCAGTCTTGTAGGTTTGTTTTACTTAAAATGTTTCTATACCTGCATTGAATTCTGGGTGGTGTTGTCATGTATGGTGATATCGCAGGTTGTTGTCTGCTGTTGTTGGTTCTCAGTCCAAAGAACATCCTTTAGCGTTTTTTGTAAAGTTGGTCTGGTCATTACAAATTCCTTTAATTTCGGGCATCAGGAAATATCCTAATTTTGCCATCCCATCGTATTTGAAGGACAGGTTCTCTGGGTATATGATTCTTGGTTGGCAATTTTTTTTCTTTCCAAGTTTTGCCTTCTTGCCTGCTTGGTTTCCTGCTGAGAAATCAGAGCTTGGTCTTGATTGGTTCTCCTTTGTTAGGTGAGGTTTTCTCGAGCTGCTCTCAGGATTCTTTCCTTGTCTTTGGCTTTGGAAAGTTTGATTATGATATGTCTTGGTGATTTTCTTTTGGGGATCTGTCCTGTTTGGGTTTCATTCAGCATGCTTATCGTCTAATCTTTCATGATATTAAGGAAGTCTTCTTCCAATAGCTCTTCCACAGTTTTCTCTGTGCTTGTCTCTTTCTGTTCTAGGATTCTGATCCACCTATAAATTGTTTCTGCTTCATGGTGTCCCATGAAACTCTTAAGCTTTCCTTGGATTGTTTTCATTCTTTTGTCTGTGATTGTTCTAGCATACTAGTGTTGAGAGGTTTATCTTCAAGCTCACTAATTCAGGCTTCCATTGCTTTGTATCTACTCCTTTGTCTTTCTGAGATCTTACTATTAATCTCCTGGGTTCTAATTGCAGGTTTTGTATTGTTTCAAATTTTGCATTTATTTTGTCTGTTTGTCCTTGTAATGTTTTCCTGAATTCTTCTAAAGTTTTTTTTTTAAGAACACTCAGGCATACATAACAATTTATACCACCAAAGGGCACATTCTGCAAGCCTGCCTCCTGGCCACCAGCTCTCACTCCCTCTCTTCTATGAGTTTAGAGTCCTCGGCTGCTCTCTCTCTCCATGTCCCATCTCTGCCTCCATCTCTGGTGTGGCTGCTTCTCTGGATAAGGTCCCACATTCCACTTGTGCTCTTCTCCCTTGATGGTCCTAGGGGCCTCTGTTTCTGGACTTTAAGATTAACTACTCCCCTGTTTTTATTACTAAACTTCTACCCCTACAGTTGTGACAATTGCAGTTAGTCATGATAACAATTACTCACTATTGAATCATCAAGACTTTTATCCTCATCTCTTTTCACCAGACCCATCTAGACAAGATGAAAAATAAACTCCCTCTTGAAACCTTGTAAGCCAGTCACTTCATGCCTTTATTGCCCCCTCATTTTAGGTAGCCAGTGTCTGAGTTGCCCATCCCTATCTATCGTGCATATAGAGGGGGATAGCACTGATGTGACGACTGCTTCCCTCTCTGGTGGTATTTTGATTAACTTTTTTTTTTTTTTTTAAGTTTTTTATTGTGAATTGAGTGATAGTTTACACGGGAGAACATCAGCTTTACATTCATCCTATCGTATTTTGTTTCATTGCAATGATTACAATCCTCTCCATGCATCATCATTCAACAGCATTTGCTTCTATTCCCTCTGCTGTTTTTTTTTGTTGTTGTTGTTGGATGACACCGAAGCACTCAGGAATACATACTCATTCAAACAACCAAAGGGTATATCCTGCAAGCCTGCTCCCTGCCCCCTGCCTCCAGCACACAACCCCTCTCCCTCCAAGAGTCTACAGTCCCCAGCCGTTCCATCTCTCCACGTCATCGTCTCTGCCTCCATCTCTGGCATCACTGCTTCTCTGGATAGGGTCCTGCACTCTGCTCTTCTCCCTTGATGGTCCCAGGGTCCTCTGCTACTGGACTACAAGATCAACCACTCCCTTCTTTTTCTTACAAAATATCTGCCTTTACATTTGTAACAATCACAAGCATTCCTGATAACAGTTATTCACTATTGAGCCACAAGGGCCTTATCCCCCATCTCATTTCACCAGCCACCTCTAGACAGGTTGGAAACCATTCAGTGGAGATTCTACTCCCCCCACCCCAACCCTCTGAAACTAAACTCTCTCTTGAAAACCTGTAAGCCAGTCACTTTGTGTCTTTATAGCCTCCCCCCCCAATTTAGGTAGCTAATGAAAGTTGCCCATCCCTGTCAACCCTGTGTACGGGGGTGGAGGTGGGAATGATCCTTGCTGTGAAGATTCCTTCCCTCTTTTAAGGTCCTACATCCATAAGTACAGGTGGTCAAGTTCATCAAATGGTAGAGGATTACACTTTTTTTTTCCCCCCTCTTCTTTTCTTTCTTTAGTCGAGTTCTAATCATCTAGCCATTGAAGCTAGGTGTGAAATGTGTACTATCTGCAAGTATGGGTGTTCTTGTGCATCTTCCCTCACTTCATATCAGCTGGACACTTCACTCTCTGCTCTAGCCCTCTGTGGCTATGTCCCCATCCATGGGCAGGAATCCTCCCCAGGTCTCACCACACTGCTGGCCAACCAGGTCTCACTACAGGTTGACAGGAGTCTGTTGAACATGGTCGGACTCAGCCCACATCTTCATTGCTGCTTTTCCTCCACTTCCCCTTATCGGTAGACCTACGTGGTTGCCAGCAAGATTACATGACTGCTCATGTATTCCCTTTGAGTTTCAGTCTTGGAAGGAGGTTTGCCCTGAAGTAACTTGATTGCTTGCCTTGATGGCTCCCCAGCAAATAACTTGCTCATTCTTGTGTCTTCTAAAGTGTATATTGTGTTCGCCTTGCTTTCCTCGATCTTTCTATCTTTTGAAGGTACCTAATTATTATTTTGAATTCTGATTCAGTTACTTCCACTACCTTTTCTGCCTCAGAAACATTTACTGGATCTGTATTTTGGTCATTTGTTTGATCTATTTTCTCTTGTTTCTTTGTGTGAGCTAAAATTGTCTTTTGTTTCTGGAGCATTGAACAAACAGTGCAGTTGTTGAACCCGAAGTAAAGAAATCTTAGAGAGGCTCTTCCAATTCAAGGAGCTCACAAGGTGGTTGTGGAAGTGACAGCAGAGTCCCTGGCCCTAAAAGGATTTTTTTCTCAGCCTTGGTGCTATATATGTTTAGGGCACTCAAACCGGATGTAGTTCCTGGGGCTCCCTATGGAGCTGGTTACACTGTCTCTTAGGACCACGGGGAAGCTGGGGGCAGGGTGACTGGTTCAATGCCGGCCTGTGGCTCTGCAGATTTTGTAGGTCGGGTGCTGAGCCCAGCTGAGTCCAGGTACTGAAGCAGCACACCGCATCACACTGGTGTGGCTCCCAACCACGCAGCTCCAAACTCAGCAGGGTCTGGGCTGGGCTGTGGATGGATGAGGATAGTAGCTGGAGCTACTTATGGTCACCAAGGGTGCAGAGGGAATAAGAAGAAATCGCATCTTTTCCATTGCCTAGGCTAATCTGCTCTGTCAGGCCAAAGTGCTCACAAGATAGTCGAACCACCTAGAGTCTTGCCTGCTCAGCCTCTTCTCCCAACAAACACTTTATTCACCTCTCTTAACCTTTCTTCTGATGTTCAGGTTGCCAGAATCTTCTGTGTCTGTTATATTTAGTTTCTCGTATGTTTGTTGCCAAGAGTCCATGCAGTGTTACCTTCTCAGAAGCCCTCTCCATGTGTCTTGCATCTAGGACAAAACCTTTATCTGGATCAAGGAACTTGACAGTGCCGAGACCCCAGGTCCCATGAAGACACTCCATTTCTCACTCTTCTTTCTTGGTAGTGGTAGTTCCCTCTGAGCTCTTCTTGTTTAGTCTCATATATCTCAAAAGAGATGAAGTCTAGGTACCACCTAATCCTGTAGATTGCATCTGGTTTCACTGACATGGAAGTGAAGGTTGAAGGCACAGAGGATCGTTACCTCAGATCAGGGCTGATCACATCCTGGGAGTGACTGCATCATATTAGATCTCATTATGGAGGTGACTGCTACATCTTAACTGCTAAACCACTGAGAATCCTGGCCCAGCCAATTTGACGCAAAACCTTAACTGTTAGTGAAAATGTCCAATTAGTGCTCTTACTTTGAACCATTGAGAGCCACTGCCCTTTAGCTTGCTGTCTTTTTCCAGGTGCCCCCCCTGGCCTCTCCTGGGGCTCTGTAGAAGTCTCCAGGAATCCATTGTTGGAATCTGGCCTCTCCAAGGGCAGAGAGGCTTCAGGATCAGTGATGCTTCCAATGTCTTCTGGTATCTGTAGTGGTGTCTGCCTTGAAGTGAGAGACTCATCCAAAAATGGCTTTTTCTTTTTAAGAAGCACCTTTGAGTTTTCAGTGTCTCCATTTCCAGTCTTCCTGAGCCCATGTGCACTTAGGATGTTGTGTCTGTGTCCACTAGATACCAAGCACCTGTTCTGCCCTTTAGGTAGAGTTGGGTGCTCGGCTACCTGAGTGTTCCTCACCTGCCACATGATTGGTTCCTCTCGTCCAGTCTCCTAGTCCAGACTTCTGTCCCTGGAGGTTCACTTTGGTTTGTTTTACCTCATTTTCTTCTAGCTTTGATACAGTTGTGTCCTTTTATTTTTAACAAAGGTGTTTTAAATAAGATGTTAGTATTTAAATTCTTTCTCACACAGCTTTTATTCCTGCCCCTCCCCTTCACAGACTGTCTGCTTATGGGATATAAATGCAGGACCAAAGGAAGGCAAAATTGTGGATGCAAAAGCGATCTTCACTGGCCATTCAGCTGTGGTGGAAGATGTGGCCTGGCATCTGCTCCACGAGTCTCTCTTTGGATCTGTTGCTGATGACCAGAAGCTTATGATGTAAGGTGGCAAGGCCCGTGGGGAGTTGATGGGAGCACTGAGTGATCATCAGTGCTTGTTGTGGTCTCTGGTTTGAGAGCATTCTTTCAGTTATACCATGACCTTTGTCCGAATAGAACGACTTTGTTGAGGTATAACTGATGATAGCAAAGAAGTCGTTCATATTGCTGGATGAACGAATGCAGCAGCTTCCTTCAAAGAAGAAAATCCACCATGTGAATATAAAGAGACATAGTTAGTCTTTGCAGTTATCAAAGTCGGGATCTGGGTGACTTTAGTTGGAGGTGAGGGAGGGAAAAGATTTTATCAGGGCGTGGGTGGTGCAGCCTTGCTTGCAACTGCCTTGATATTTTTTAACCTCATAAAATATCCAAGGCCAAGGTGGCAAAGTATTAAAACTTGACAAAACTTGGTTATTGCTTCAAAGTGTTCCATTATCCTTTAGAAGTCTGTACTTGGTGTGTGCTTGAAACAGTTTGTATTTAAAGCCGAGGACACTAATAAACTAGAAATACTAGCCTTAGTTTGTTGGGGAGGTTCAGGATTGCAGTGTTGGGAGTGTGGATTTCCGGCCTCCTTTGTTTGTATGTAAGGTGGGCTCCTGGGGGGAGGTATGGGGGTATGCGGGACACTGCTGTCCTAGAGAAGAGCGGAAGTGTGGGACCAACAGCTGGCAAGGCATGCTCTTCCTCGAGTGTGCTGGCATTGTATGTTTGTTTTTTAGATGGGACACCAGGTCCAACACCACCTCCAAGCCAAGCCACTTGGTGGATGCGCATACAGCTGAAGTCAACTGCCTGTCATTCAACCCTTACAGCGAGTTCATTCTAGCAACGGGTTCTGCAGATAAGGTCTTCAAAGCTTTTGCAAATTTCTGTGTTCAGGAAGGGCTTTCTGCAGATATTTTCACATTCTTTTATGTAAAGTATCGGAAACTAATTCATTTTAATTTGTTCACTTTTGCCTTCAGACGGTTGCTTTATGGGATCTGCGCAATTTAAAATTGAAACTCCATACCTTTGAGTCGCATAAAGATGAGATTTTCCAGGTATGTAGCAATCTTCTGGTGTTAACCAAACATTTGGCAGGAGAAATTGGTAGGCTTCTTTTTCTTTGAAATGATTAGGCAGGCATAGGTCATTACATTTTTTATAATGCATCTTAGTTTACTGTATTCATAAATCAATGGAGAATGTTGAGAGACTATTTGAAGTAGACGAAAAAACCTTGCAAAATGGGATCACTTTTAAAAAATGAAATTCCAGGGTCCTTCCATTGCGTCATGCCGGTTTGATGGGCCACTGGGAGAAAGTGTCTACTTTGTCCAGACTAGAAAGCAGATTTACTTAGGTTGAGTTAGACGGTGCTGAGAACTTTTCGGGCTACTGCCATGGTTAGGGGCTCCCTAAGCTCATTGGGACCCCTCCTGAGACCCACTGTGCAGGACTGAGTGTGACTTTCATGGCTGCAGGCCCAAGAGCTGGGCCCACTCGGAACACTTGAGAGGCAGGGACAAGATGCTGAAGGCTCCAACCAGGAGAGAATGAGGGGAATATGCACAGGAAACCCCACTGATTAGCAGAGTGTCCACCAACCTGGGAATGCATGATTCCTTAAACACATTTTCAAAATACATGTTGCTAGGTCCACTGGTCTCCACATAACGAGACCATTCTGGCTTCCAGTGGTACTGATCGCCGCCTCAATGTGTGGGATTTAAGGTAAGTGCAAATCTGTTGATGAGAAATTGCATGAAATGCTAATAGGACAGATTATGTGATCATTTGCTCTCTAGAAGAGCAGTCTGCTAATCTCCTATGATAACCCTAATAGTGGACTGACTGCTAAGTACTAACAAGAGCCTTTGTTCTATAAAGTAGAGATGAATCAGTGACTCAACAAATAAACCCTAAAATATGGTTCAGTGAGGTGAGCTTTGTTTTCTGCTGATATTCAGACACATGTGCACAAGTATGTTTGGATGTGAATGAGCATTGACATCTAAGTGTTTATATTTAAAGCACTCCCAACTGTAGAAGGAAGGCACCATTCAGAATGTTAGCTGTTTGTGTTTTGCGGCTCAGGTTTTTGTACAGTGAATCCCATGAGAACGGGAACTTGACAGGACTCTCTTGTTTTTCCGGGTTTCTCCCATTTCCTGTATTTGACAGGGTGCAAGCTTCCCATTTTTCTATCACTTTTATCGTTGTTGTTAGGTGCCATTGAGCCAGTACCAGTTCATAGCGACCCTATGCAAACCAGAATGAAACACTGCCTAGTTGTGCACCAACCTCATAATCATTGCTGTTACTGTGCACATCTGTCTCTCACCCTTGACCCCAATATGATAGATACCCTTCTCCAGGAACTGATCCCTCCTTATAATATGTCCAAAGTATGTGAGACAAAGTTCAGCCATCCTGGCTTCCAAGGACCATTCCGACTATTTCTTCCAACACAGTCCATGGTACTTTTAATATTCTCCTCTGTCTTAACGCAAATGCATCAATTCTATGGTCTTCCTTATTCATTCACTGTCCAACTTCCATGTGCATATTGGGTTTTTGAAATACCATGGCTTGGGTCAGGGACACTTTAGTTTTCAAACTGACATCTGAGTTTTTGAACACTTTAAAAAGAGGTCTTGTGCAACAGATTTGCCCAGTGCAGTACGTCGTTTGATTTCTTGACTGCTGCTTCCATGGGTGTTGATGGTTGATCCAAGAAGAATGAAGTCTGACACTTTCATTATTTTCTCCATTTATCTTGATGTCGTTTATTGATCCAGTGGTGAGGATTTTTGTTTTCTTTACATTGAGGGTGCAACCCATATCGAAAGCTGTAGTCTTCAGTAAGTGTTTTAAGTCTTTTGCTTTCAATAGGCAAGGTTGTATCATCTGCATATCGCAGACTGTTAATGAGTCTTCCCCTAATCCTGACGTCACGTTCTTTTTCTTGTAGTTCAACTTCTTGGATTATGTGCTCAGTATACAGGTTGAATAAGTATGGTGATAGAATAAAACCCGTGCGCACACCTTTCCTAATTTTAAACCATTCAGTGTTTCCCTTGTTCTAGTCAAACAATTGCCTCTTGGTCTATGTACAAATTCCTCATGAGCACAATTAAGTATTCCAGGATACTCATTATCCACAGTGTTGTCCATAGTTTGTCATGATCCACACAATCGAAGCCTTTGTGTGTAGTCAAAGCACAGGAAATCATCTTCCTGGTATGCTCTTTCAGCCAAGATCCATTTGACGTCTGCAGTGATAGCCCTCATTCCACGTCCTCCTCCAAATGTGGCTTGAACCTGTGGCAGTTCTCTGTCATTGTACAGTTACAGCCGTTTTTGAAATATCTTTAGTGATATTTCACTTGCCTGGGATGTTAAAATGATATTGTCTAAAGATTTCCACATTCCATTTGAATGGGCACAAATATGGATCTCTTCCAGTCAAGTCAATTGGCCAGGTAGCTGTCTGGCAAATTTCTTGGCATAGGTGAGTGAGTGCTTCCAGTGCTTCAGTCAGTTTGTTGGAAGATTTCAATTTGTGTTTCATCATATCCCGGCGCCTTGTTCTTTGCCAATTCCTTCAATGCACCTTGGACTTCTTCCTTCAATACCATGTCTCTTGATCATATGCTACCTTTTTAAATGGTTGAAGCTCAACCATTTCCTTTTAATACAGTGGCTCTGTGTATTCCCTTCCATCTTCTTTTGATGCTTTGTGTATTCTATATTTTGCCTACAGAATCCTTTAATATTGCAGTTTGAGGCTTCCCATTTTTTCTTCAGTGCCCTCAACTTGAGAAATGCTGTGCATGTTCTTCCCTTTTTGTTACTCCCTTTTTGGTAGGTCTGCTATTTTGTTAAAATATTTGACTTTGTTTTCTTGAGCTGCCCTTTGAAATTTTCTCTTCAGCTCTTTTACCGCCTCATTTCTTTCATTAACTTTAGCATCTCTCCACTGGAAAGCAAGTTTCAGGGTCTCTTCTGATAGCTGCTTTGGGCGTTGCTTCATTCCTGTCTTCTGGATGACCTTTTGCTTTCTTCCTGCATTGTGTTCTTGATGTCATCCTACAACTAACTCTTCTGGTTTTTGGTCTTTAGTTTCTAATGCATCAAATCTGTTCTTCAGATGATCTTTAAATTCAGATGGAATATATTCAAAGTCATATTTTGGCTCTCCTGGACTTGTTTTAATTTTCTTCAATTTCAGCCTGAAGTTAGATATGAGCAATTGATAGTCTACTCCACAGTCTGCCCCCGGCCTTGTTTTGTCTGATGCTATGGAGCTTTTTCAGTGTCTCTTTTCAAAGATGTTGTCTATTTGATTTCTGTGTATTCCATCTGGTGAGGTCCATGTTTGTAGTCGTCTTTTATGTTGTTTAAAAAAGGTATTTGCAATGAAGAAGTCATTGGCCTTGCAAAATTGTATTTATCATGCAATCTCGAACATCATGTCTTTTACCAAGGCCTCATTTTCCAACTACTGATCTTCCTCTTTGCTTTCAACCTTTGAATTCAATCGCCAATAGTCACCAATACATGTTAACTGCATGTTTGATTAATTTCAGATGGAAGAAGTTGGTGGAATTCTTGAATTTCATCATTACTGGTTTTAGTGGTTGGCGCATAAATTTAAATAATAGTTACATTAACTGTTCTTTGTAGGCGTATGGACATTATCCTACCACAGACCACATTTTGTAATTCAAGACAGATCACTGATGTGTTCTTGATGATGAATGGTACACCATTCCCAGCATAGTTAGCTTTGTGGTTGCCGGATTTAAAATTAACAATACCCCAGTCCATTTCAGCTCACTAATGCCTAGGATATTGATGTTTATACATTCTGTTTCATTTTTGACAATTTCAATTTTCCTGTATTCCTACTTAATACATTTCATGTTTCAATTATTAATGGATGTTTACAACTGTTTCTCTTCAGTTGGAGTTTTGTCCCATCAGCAAATGAAAGTCCCTAAGGCTTTATACCATTGACATCAAGTTCTTTGAGGAATGTTTTCAGTGCCTTCCAACCTGAGGGGCTCATCTTCCGGCACTATGCCTGACAATATTCTGGTGCTATTCATAAGGTTTCAGTATTCAATATTCTGGTGCTATCTGACAGTGTTCCACTGCTATTCATAAGGTTTTCAGTGACTGAGTGTTCGGAAGTAGTCTGTCTCTACTCTTTCCTAGTCTTTGTCTTGAAACTCAGCTGAAACCTGTCCACCATGGGTTGGTCTTGCTGAAAATTAAATGCTGTTGTTAAAGCTTCGAGAAGCGCAAGCAACATACAAGCCACCACAGTATGGCAAACTGACAGATGAATGATGGATCCATACCTGTTAGTGAGGAATATTTGTTTTCTGTCTCTAACAGGTTTGTGCCTTACATAGGCTCCAGCTGTCACAGATGTTACTTATTTGAGCATCAGTTACTCAGTAGCTGTGTGCTCCTGCTACGAAATCTGTGCTTAGTCTCATTGGTTCTCCGTTGTTGGTGGAAGCTTCGTTTTTCCCAGCTGCTTCAAGATTCTTTCCTTGTGGTAGCTTTGTGAAGGAGACAAGCACAGGCCACGCTGCTATAGAAAGCTTTCTGCCTAATCCTTCAATTTCCTTTACTTCAGAGTTGTTCTGAGAGCATCAGATGCTTTCCTTTTTTTTTTTTTCTTCTCCTGAGTCTTTGCCGTTTGAGCCAATAATAAAGTTGCTCTCTGATAAGCAATGTTTCCTGATATGGCACTGTGGGCCACTGTGCTGGACTGCAATGTCGGTTTCAACCGCAAGGTCGAAGGTTCAAGCTCACCAGCCTCTCTCTGGCAACCCTGTACAGGGTCACTATGAGTTGGAACTGACTTTGTTGATGGCTCTTAAAAACAACTACATGATAAGGGAATCCATCATCTTAACCAAAAAACTTAATTTTCCACTGTATTAAATATTGTGCTTGAAGTGAACTACATTTAGTATATTAAAACCAAGATTCCTATAATTATATAGAGAATTTTCATAGTAAAATTCCAAACTTAAAACAAAAACATGCTATTGCCATAAGAAGAGTAGAACAAGTTTTGGAAGTCTCATGCTTTGGCAACTGAATTGCCCCTAAATGTGCCAGTAATAAACTATTATAATAAATAGAAGTTATGTAATTCTTTCTTAGAATTCATTTATGACTGGCTATTACTAAAATTTGATAAAAATTAAGGATCAAAATGGTCACTGTTAGTAATTGTAGTTATGGCAGATTAGGGAGAGACTTAATTGGGTAGGGGTACCACATGTTTAGGTTTTTTTGATTAGTTTTATGGCAAGGGAAAAATTCTATCATTTGGAAGGCTCTGTTTTGGCTGTTTGTCCCGCAGTTATTACTAGCAGGCGGCTACTGGTGTGTAATTTTGATTAAGAGTGCTATCACTGCAGGCTACTTGGCAGATTCTACAAACAGAAGTGTTGCAGATATGAACAAAAAGTAAAACTGAAAACCTTTCTTTGGTTTATACAGTTCCTAGGTTAAGTTGCATGCTTTCTTGCTGGGTCTTTTACAGATTTGTATCACTGCTATGTGACTTTATTCAATATTGGGAAGAAAAGACTGATGAAAAGTCAAATATAACAGTTTCTCATCCTTTGCCTTTACTTATGAACAAGTCTTTATCCTTTTTCTAGAAAGTAACATTCTACCCTATCAAAAATAACTCCTATAAAAACCCTAATTGATATCATGTGGAGATAATTATTTTTAGGATGTGTGAGTGTGGGATGTTTGTGTTGGCATGTGTTAAGATGCACTTTCTGCGTGGATACTGGTTATACTAGTAGAATGTCAATAACAAAAAGCATTCATTATGTTCTTCCCTAATAGTAAAATTGGAGAAGAGCAGTCTGCAGAAGATGCAGAAGACGGACCTCCGGAACTCCTGGTACATGTTGACTTTCTGACTTGAGCTGAAATGTCATCTGCAGATTAGATTGTTCATAATTGGTCAATTCATCTTCAGAATGAATCAGATCTACAAGTTCTAGCTTTTTTTTTTAAATCTATTTTTTTGTTGAGTAACTACACAGCAGAACATAAAGTTCTAACTCTTAAATGGAAGCCTTGAAGGTTATTGTGATAGGTTTCAACATTTATCGGAAATACAGACAATTCTTGGGTTATGAACGAGATCTGTTCCTAAGTGTATCTTTAAGTCTAAGTAAATCTTTAAATTGAATTTGTAGGTACGTTGTAACAGATGCATATGGTCTTGAGTAACCTCATTACCTGTCTGTTTTGACTCATAGTACTGTCTGTTTTGACTCATAGTACCCTTGTATAGGGTTCCCAAGGAGAGCTATTGGTGTATTTGAATCACTGACCTTGCGGTGAGCAATCCAGTGGTTTTCCTACGGTGGTGGTGGTGGTTATGTGCCGTGGAGTCGGTTCTGACTCATAGCGACCCTATACAGGGTTTCTGAGGTTTTAAGTCTTCACGGGAGCAGAAAGCCTCATCTTCTGACAACGAATGGTAGTTCCGAACTACTGACCTTGAGGTTACCAGCCCGATTCGTAACCACTACGCTACCAGAGCTCCTTTTTTCCTACAGTAGGTAGCTTTACTTGGAGTGAGACGCTGCACATACATACAGGTGAAGGTGATAGTGATGAAGAATTTGTATCAAGTAGGGATTGGTTCATTCCTTTGAAAGTGAGGGCAAATTTATATCATATTAAAGGGCAAGTAGGAATTGTCAATAAGTGGACCTTCATAACCGGGCACTGCCTATAGTCAATTAGAAGTTTTTAAGAGTGTTCCACTAGAAAGTCCATTGAGATCCTTGAAAATGATGGGTAGTAGTATCACTGATTTCTGCTATAATATTTCTGTAGTACATTCTAATAGTCTTGATGACCCTGTTTTGTTGTTTAAGTTGTGACGCTATAGGATAAGCACTGGATTGCCTGGTTACCGTTCAAACCCACCAGCTGCTCTGGACAACCCTGTAAGGGTGGCTGTAAGTCAGAACCAACTAGATGGCACACAACCACCATCACCCAGAGAATGCCGTCTCCTTCCTATTTCTTTTGAGATCATTGCCACATACTGTCTCCCCTCCCCCAGGGTTCACTTGCTGGTATCCAACCTGATGACCCTTCAAAACACTGCCAGCAGCCTCAGTAATGCTTTTCTTGTCCTTTCATTTGAATCTCACCCACCATTTGGCAAGCAAGCAGTCATTGCTCTGTCATGACTGTTTTGTTGGGCTCTTCATCCTTCTGCTACTTAAAGAAGACAGTTTTCAGCACACTGCTGCTCTATATACAAAGGGCAGCTTACGGTGGCTCGCCTGGAATAAGGGTGCTTAGGGACAGGGTTGCATAGTCTTTCGATAGAGTATTGCTTCCAGGTAGTTTTCCCCAGCTGTTGTGGGCCTTTGTGCACTTCTGGTAGCAAGTTTCTTGAGAGGATTCACCCACTTATACTACACAATTAACCGTCTTCATGTATGTGGAGTGTGCACCCATCACAAGTCCTTTTACTGCCACCCGGTCTTCCCACCCTCAGGCCTAGACTTGCCTCCTATCTTGCACCTTTCATATAAATCCACTAGGATTTTGACTCTTTTCACAGGGAGCCTGCAATATCAAAGGACCTGCAAATGTTGTAACTGGTGACTCAGTAGAATTTTTATCTTAACGGTCTCTCGTATTAAGGACTCCATTTCTATATATATTTTAAGCTAGTGGGTGGGATGTATTTTCACTTTTGTATCCCTTTCAGGCTATCATGAAAAACTCTTTACCCATCTTGTGCTTTTGAGCTGATAAAATTATTAACAGGTAGAATTTTTATAGTGCATGTAAGATCACAAAAGAAAGAAAAAGGCAGGCACCTTTGTCAAACGAGAGTGGAATAGGTCTTTTTGTCGCCAATTGTGACAAACCCCGCATTATTGTCCTTGTGATTGTCTAATGAGTGAGGCACAGGCCACTCCCACCAGGTGGTCTCGGCTGTTTTCCTTTCCTCTGCTATCGCATTCCCAGGGCTTTGTGACCTGTCCCAATTGAGGGTGGGGACCTGGAGATGGGTGAGGGGGGAGTTACAAGAGAATCAAGGTCCACCTCAGGTAGAACTGTGGGATAAGGGATACAGGCAGACCTCCAGATACTTTGGGCTCAGTTCCAGACCACTGCGATAAAGCGACGCACACAGTTTTTAAATTCCTAATGCAACGAAAAAGGAGCTCTGGTAGTGTAGTGGTTATAAATTGGGCTGCTAACCTCACAGCAGTTCGAAACTACCAGCTGTTGTGTGGGAGAAAGATGAGGCTTTCTGCTCCCATAAAGATTTACACCCTTGGAAACCCTATGCAGGGTTGCTTTGAGTTGGAACAGACTCCACAGCACATAACGCATCGAAAAAGAGATGTTTCCATTCTGTAGTCTGTGAAGTGTGTAAACAGCATTATGAAAAAGAGACACTGTCTTAACGTGACACACAAGTGAGCACGTGCTGTGGGAAAACTGGTGCCAATAGACTTGCTCGATACACTGTCGTCACAAACCTGTTCATTTTAATAACAACAACCAAAAAAAACGCTTATATGCAAAGCACAAGGCATGCGTAATTGTCCAGAAATGTGTTCGACACGGCACTTAAATGATGCAGAGCCCTCCTTGCATTGAGTATGAAAATGGCATTGTGGGCATGAAGCAGGCTAAAGCAGTTAGAGGTGGGGTGAACTCTCCAATCTGTAACTTCTCAGCGCTGCAGTGAGGGGGTGAGCATCGATGGCCAGAGGGAAGAAAGCATCTGTAGCAAAATACTAGAATTTGGAGACTTTCCGTTAAGGGGATATGGGTGTTCATTGTGCTATTTGTAAGTACAAAATGGTAAAGGTAGTTTCTGATCCTGCACCACCTCCCTCCCTCCAAACCACAGAGCAGCACCCATCCCAACCCCCAATTGAAAGATCCATGATATAATAAATAGTACACCATAGAAATGTCCACTAAGTATGTGTCAGATGGACATGACAACACATGAAACTAAAGGTTCTTCTTATTAACAGTTTATTCACGGAGGACACACTGCCAAGATATCAGATTTCAGTTGGAACCCCAATGAGCCTTGGGTCATTTGCTCCGTGTCTGAGGATAACATCATGCAAATATGGCAAATGGTGAGCTGAAACCTCCCCCCCCCCCTTTAATTCCTGGGAAGTAAAAATGGGTTACTAATGAGATAATATAGCAGAAAGGTTTTCAGGTATTTAGGTGCCTATTATATCAAGTATTTCTAGAAAGGAGACAGATGGTTATTTTAGCAGCTTTCTCTGCCATGTCTATTCCCTGCGGTTGCTGGACAACACTAGCCTAGCAACAGAACTGCAGGTGACAGGTACATCCTGTGACACTTAAGTTGTCTGGTGATGGAGCACTAAGCACTGGCCCTCTGGAAGGTTGCTACCCAATCCTTTCAGTGACACCGCTGAGTGATGCCTCAAAATGCTTTTGGAATTCCTTATGAACAGTCAAGTGTATAGGGGGCTTCACCACGTTCATGGAAAATGCAATTTTAAAATATTGGCATTTTCCCCCACTAACTTTCTGGAGTCTCATATATGTGCAGTTACACAATTGTTACTCCTTGAGACTACTGGCGTGCCTTTGGCCTCATTAAATTACTGACTGGTAGGGAACCTACAAAAATGAAAAATGTGTATTTCTATTTACTAAATGAAACACCCTGATCAGGGAGTGAATCCCACGATCTGGTGTGGCGCTGCAGGGTAAGCACTGAACCACAAGGTGTCATGGTTCAAACCCAACAAAACCACTCCTAAGAAACCCTCTATTGGTGCCTATGAGTGAGAAGACTCAGGGGCTTGTTTTTTTTTTTATTGTTTTTGTGGATTGAGTGAAAGTTTAGAGGGCAGAGATCATCATCAGTTTCAGACTCAAGAGCTTTTTAAGTTTTTAGATGCTCTTAAAAAAAACAAACAAAAAAAACCTCATGGGAATTTTACCTGCAAATGTCTTTGGTTGTCATCTCCAGGCTGAAAATATCTACAATGATGAAGAGTCAGATGTCACAGCATCAGAACTGGAGGGGCAAGGATCTTAAACCAAGTCCAAGAAAAGTTTGTTGAATGCTCCATGAATGCTTGCCTTATCGAACGCCAACACGGCATTGTATAGTAGGAAACCTGAGTGGGTGGCATGGCATTCTTTACCCTTGATTCTAGCACTTTCCAGTGAAGCTATTGCGTACTGTATCATATTGTAGCTATTAGGGATGAAAGGAATGTTGCTTAAAAAAAGAGCATCACCTTTGTTTAAAAATACAAGTAGCAGGGTGTGTACTGCCTTTGATTCTACTGTTTTAAGTCTTCGTTTTCTCAAAAACTAAAAATGCTTGCTGTTCCCAAATATGCAAGAATAACTTTTACACTTTTTCCCCTCCCTCCAACACTTACTGATTGGCTTTGCAGAAATAAAGTTTTAAAATAAATTTCATTGTGTTTTTTTCGGTGCATGCTACCTAACCTTAAAGGGTCATTTAACAAAACAAATAGGCCAAGCCCTCTATAGAGGATTGTGTGTGCTATATGCAAGTATCCCTTGTTACCCACCTGGGTGTGCTGAGGCCAACTGAGACTGGAGAATAGAGTTGTAGTTCCAAACACTTTTGACAGAAGCTATACCCGACAATTATATAGACAATTCTACCTTAAAGGGCAAACTGGTATTGATAAGAGGTCCAGCTAAATAAAATGAGATTGCTTTCAACCCACCAGAGGATTGTCAGTTTGTATAATAAACTGGTTTTTAAAACCTTGAGAAACCGCTCTACAAGTCTTTAGACCAGGTTCTTCTGAAGACAGGTAAAAATACACAGAAGCGGTTATATGTATCATACATATTTACTTAAGCTATACAGAATCGAGTAGATAAAATCATTCACATTAGTGAAAAATCTCTACAAAATGTCTTTGAAAAGCAAAACAAGACTGCCTCTTAACAATTCGTATCCTCATGAAAGCCGTGAGCTGTAAAAATAAAGCAGTGTCTTTAGCACAAACTAGAAGCTATCTGCATCATCTTTTCACAGTTATTACCATCTACAGTCTGAAAGAGGTAGATTTTTCTGCAACACCTGAGAATTGAATTGTGATAACCAGGTGTAATAAAGGCAGTTGCATACATAACTAAAAACCACTGGTCTGAAGACCCAAGAAATGTATTCCTAAGGTTTGTGGATGAAATGGTCCATTAACCAAGACCCAAGTTGGTAACACGCCTTGGTGTGTCTACTGCCGCTATAAATGGTAAAGATCAAGATTCCATCCATGATGGTGCAACAAATGCAATTGCAGTGAATGAACATTGAAACCTTTTCTGAGCAGCCTAGTAGCATTACAGTGTTCTAGAATCTGGTAGATACAGGGTGTGCTACAAAGCCACAACACTGGGCTGGTGAGGTGATTGCTTTGGGAGGGTGTCCTTCACAGAGGGTCCCATTTTCATTCTTCACAGGGTAATGGGAAGATTCTGAAAGGAAACCAGATGTATTCCAGAGTTCATGTCCTTTAAACACCATGATAGCATCTAGCTACAAATACATAGTAAGCTGTAAGCAGCAGGCCAAGTACTGTTAATCACATTGCTTTATAAAGAAAGCCCTTGAAAATATGCAACAGGTCCAAGGTTTATAATCGTCCACACACACTAAGTACCACAGAGCAATGTGGTGGGCTACACAACTGGCTGGATAGAATGTTAGAGCTGTACATCTGGCAGAGTTCTTGTGAAACATGATCTTTAGTATTAATTTTAAGGTAGATTATATTTCTCATGTATACCTTCGTTATTGAGTCCCGTAGTTCCTTTAGTAGCTGAAGGGGAGGGGTTAGAAAGAGGCTGAGTGAGGGAGTTGTTGTTTTTGCTTCTACCTCATTGGACTAGTAATCAGATAACCTGTTCTGTGGGTTTCTTGTCCTTCGCTGTCTGGTGCTTGAGGAACATGACTGCTGGTGGGAGCTTAGGTATAATCCTCCACTCCAGGTGGTAGTGCCCATGGATTAGGCACTTGCCAATGCTTTTCAGCCCAGTCCAGAACAGGAATGGAAAGGACCTGGCAAACAGAACCTGCACAAACTTTTGAGAGTTTGTCAGTCCAGGAAATAATCTAGTGTCAGTTGGCTAGTTAGATCCCCTCAGCAGGATGTCTAAGGTCTAGAGTGCTCTCTCCCCTCCCCCTTTTTTAAAAACGTAAATTCTACCAGGGTTTAAAATTTTTCACCAGTGCAGCCTGATTAATCATTTGTATTAGCCAAATTCAAAATTGGGGGAGGGGTGAAAGTTAAGGAACTAATGCAAAAGTTACGTGCTCTAATTTAGAACTTTGCCACATTCCAAGGGCAAAGATCTTGATAACACTGGTTCCTTTCCTTTTAAAAAAATGACAGTAATTAAGGGGTGAGAAACAGACTGAAAGCTTAAGTCATAGGTTGAGACTAAACCTGATCTAAACCACTGCCAAGGTTTCTGAAAAGTTTAAACGTTTACTGAAGATGCAATCTGTTTTGGTTTGGGTGGCACATAATTACAATTCACTTGTAGAAACCTGGTCCACTTTGCTGGTAGGTAGGTAGCACTCGTGAACACCCACTGTCAAGTAAGCAGTACGTAGCCGCCTGGCTTTTGCCTACTGAAAGCTACCCCAAAACTTAACCCTCCTCTTCAACCGACAAGAGCAGTTTTCAGAGAATTAGTGGCTTTCTGTGGGAAGTGGAGGGTCTGTAACCAAATCCCAAACTGAAATCCAACAGACCACTCACTGTCCTCTACAGTTGTCAGCTTGCCTTCCGATGGTGCACACCCTGCATGTGCGTCTGGTGATGCACCTGTTGTACACCTTTATATACGTGATTTTCCCAGCTTTGAGGCTTGTGGCCTTGTCAGTTTGTCAAGTGAATAATAAAAAGCCAACTGTAATCAAACGTACTTGCTTCTGATCCAACATTAGAGCTTTAAGCATTTAAATGTGCACTTTAGAAAAAATGAAATCATCTTTACGTTTGTTATTTTCTTGAAATCATTTTAAGGAGGTGCTCCAAAGTTAAATATTGTTTTGACATCAAGGAACCGTTTTTCCTGTCCTGACTACAATTTTCATTGATCATTTTGTGCAGGGGGCAGGGGAAAGGAGCAGGCACCGAATACATGCACTCCAGTGACAGGGACGTCAGGGGATGTGCACCACAGCTAAGGAGCAGGGAGCAATTCAATCGACTCCAAATTGCTAAGCCACCTCCTGTATCACCACAGAAGTCCAGTAGTTCTAAGAAAATACAGATATGGTAGAAAAAGTAAGAAAGTTTTCACCACAAAACCAACAGTTAACCACTAACAGAAAGTCATACACAAAATATATCTCTCGAGACAGTGATTGCACTCTTAGTCAACGGATTCGGTGCCTGGTACAGGGCCAGCACCCAGGGTCTCTCGGGCAGCCGCAGGCTCTGGCCCCAGGGGGGCTGTGGGAGCCCCCGCAGTGGCGAGGCTGGGCTCCTGGGGGGACTCCAGGGTAGTACAGGGCTGGGACGCCTGCGGCACTAAGTCCACCTCTGCTCCGCGGACAGAGCCCTGCTCCTTGAGTACTTCCACCTTCTCGTTGAGCTCATTTCTTTCAGTCTGAAGAGCTCTGCACAGCTTCTCTAAGCGCTCTAGTTTTATTTGGAAGGCCTTATATTCTTTATCACGGATCGTTTTCTGTAAGGAAAAAACAATTTATGTAACATCCTAAATAGATTATTGTATACAAAACCCAGAAATCTGAGCCAAGTAGAAAATGACTCATTTTAGCACCTCTGAAAGATGTTCAACTTTTAAAAACACTTCTAAGCAATCTGGGGAGCAGCAATGCATATTCATCTGAGCTCCCAGATGGCTGGCTAGATAACATGGTAATGCTGGAGTGGTTCTGGGTACCTGTCACCACACCAATGGCTAACTAACACTAACACTGGAGTGTGTTCGAGGAGGGTACATGTCTGAGCACATCGAGGTGTACTTAGTACAGTTAACAGTGGGGTGTGATCTAGGAGGGTGTTATGTCTGAGCACACCGATGACTAGTTAACCCTGTAATACTGGATGTGTACTTGGGTACATGTCTCAGGACACCAATGACCAGTTAACACTAATACTGGATTGTTCTAGGGCAGCACAACTTAATTTCTCCTCTGTAATGTTTCTTAAAAAGAAGCAAAATCCACTTCCGTTTTTACAAAACACTTTGCAATGATGAAAGGTTAACATCAAACCACTTAGAATTCATGAATTACTGAAGCTATTTAAGAGACTGGTCTTAAAGACTAGCAGATACAAAACTTAACAGGCAGAGAAGAAGAAGAAAATGAAGCTTGTAGGACGAACTGCTGGTATGAAGCCGTAGAATAAGCACGGGAATGCTAACTGCAAGTCGGTGCTTTAAACTCAGCTGCTGCTTGCTCCTATGAGTTGGAACCAACCAATAGGTTCGAGGACCAGAAACTGCCATCAAAGTACCCCACCGTGTGTCCTGTGCAACACAATGCACCTATTCGCTCAGAAAGCTGTGAAGTTCAGCTTTACACTTTACATTAGACTGCATTACACTTCTTAAGGGGCCCAAAACACTTTCCTACCTTTCTGACAAGACCAGTGGAGTTGGTGACTGTGCTCGACCCCACTGAGAAATTGGAGCACTGTTTCTCCAGGTTTGGGCCCTCTCCTCAGGAGCTGGATGGGGTCTGACGGCACTTTGAGAAAGCACTGCTCTAGAAGCAGAATCTAGATACCATCTGGCCGTCTCAGCCCGCCAACCCAAGGTCCTGGGCAGGCAGCTGGGCATGGAGGTTCGTTCTGGTGAGAAGTTGCCTTTTCCTTCAGCTGTGAGCATTACCCTGATAGCCCTGACGACAAAGCCGCCTCATTCATGGAAACCACCTCACCTCTTCAGCCATTTGCAGAAGCGCTTTATTATTGTTTTCCCATTTGGTCCGCCACACTAGTGTTTCTTTTTCCAGTTTTTTAATTTTCTTTGTCATCTGTGAATCAACACAATTGCAAATTGAAATTCTACGTTTCAGTTCTCACTTCTAATCCCTGTCCCACTGCCAAACAACAATGTTGTGTGTCTCCCTTCACTCCTCCCGCATTAATGCACGTACCCCACCCTGCTGACAGCTGCGGAGGAATTGGTAAAAGGAACTGGGCCTGGCTGTGAGCAACATAGCCAATGTGGTGACAGCCCCCAGCTCTGGCACGCTCACAGTGATGCTGGAGTGAAGCCACTCCTAGACGCACGGAGAGCAGTGAGACTTCAGCTCCTCAAGCTGGTTTAAAAAATGTCCATGGTCCATTAAACTAATTCATTAGATTCGGGAAAACTCGGGGGGGGGGGGGGTCCTCAAAGATGGAACAGCTTTCTGAGTTTCCAAAAGCCAACATCAGTTTCTATCTAGTGGCAACATCACTTAGGTTAGACTCTATCCTTAGCTCTCATTGTTGCCCCCCTATTCCTGAGGCTGTTGGATTTCACATTTTGCCAAAGCTAAAATGGATCCGAAAATAGCAATTTTTATTAAGAACTCAATTTTCCAAAATTCAGACTTCACGATGTTTTAAAATCTTGGTATTCCCTGCAGTGTCCAAAGTAGGGGCAATGAGCCACATGCTGTGAAGGATCCTGAGCAACCATACACACAACCGACACAGGGCAAACTGGGTCAGAGGTCGTGGGAGAGCTCAGGGAAGACCTAGGCTGCGTGCCACAAGCAGAGAAGAACATGTTCCAGGCCAGAGGATTTTCTATAGGAGAGCTAATTTGGGAGTGCGTGTCTTCACTTGTGTTCTGCCTCACTAAGCGAGCAGGTGCCGGAGTCCAGCTAACACGTCCACCCCCCGACACTGAGGCTGGCAGCTCAACGGCCTGTCTAAAAATACTGGGAAGTGCTCACTTGTTACAAACACTTTTGTTTTATGAGGAGTATTGTTGTTGTCCTCATTTTTAATGATGAAGAAATCGAAAGGCACAGAAAGCCAAACAACTTGTCCGCACTTAAGACAGTAAATGACGCAGCTGGGCCATTAACCCAAGGACTTTGGCTAAAGAGCTAACAAAATTTACAGTTAACAGCAAGCGAATGCTTACAACGTGCAGGATATACTGTACGGACCCCCACCTACCAGCCCCTCTCATCTCCCCCACTGGAAAGGGGAGATGCCAAATTACACGAGGATGGGTGGACGGACCCATAATGAAATTATTTCGGTGGATATGTAATATTAACCACCTAGAATGTGTAACGACTCTTCTAGGTTGGCAGGGTTGTAAATAAGTTCCTCTCCAAGGGCCCGGAGTTTTGTAATAGGATAGGGGTGTGGAGAGGAGGTGGAACTACCTGCAGAGATTAAACAATAAACAGAAAACACAAACAACAAAAAAAGAAATCACTTTATTTCTAACAAATTTTATTTCATAGAGGAACTACTTCCTGGAGAAGTTGAAGAACATGAGGAGGAGTCTTAGCTATTTGGAGTATACAGAGGGCAAAATGAGCAAAGATGTCAGTGGGAAACCAGAGAAGGGTAAATTCAGACAGCATCCTGACCCCAGCAACTCCCCGTCTTATGGAATAGTCTACTAGATATATGCAAGTACCTTTTCCATTTCCTGCCTGAAGGTGGTAAACAGTTCATTGCTTTTTGCCATGGTAGTCTGGAATTCTTCAAACTTATCCATATACAGAGAAAGCTACAGGAAAAAGTATTAAACATTCTGAGTTCCAGGTAAGCAATTTAAAATCCCAAAGATGTTCAAAAGAACACAGTATGGTTGAACGTTGTTTATTTGTTTTAAGGTAAACATTCTTATAAGGCTAAAAATAAGAAAAACACGCACCCGATCCTTGAACACCAGACAGAAATGGCTGAATTCTGCAAACTCACTGAAATGCATTTAAACTTCAGAAACACCGCTGATGTAATAACCATCTTTCAAAGGGGGGGGGTGTTTAAAATGTGGACACTTACTGCTTCATCCTAACAATTGTAAAAACTGAACTCTAGGAGGATAGCTCTAACGTTCATACAACCATAATATGCTTCAGGAACTGTCCCCCCATTTGCATTTTCAAAACTGGCCTTGGATAGAGGTAAACACTGTTACCTGATGGGGCATGGAGGGGACTACAATCATTGTGCTAACACTGAGTATACGATATGGTTGGATGTAAAGTTGATGATCTGCTCGGTCAACCTTCACTCAGTTCACAATAAGTTCAATAAAGAAAAAAGACAATTGTCCTGGAAAAAGACCCTCTTTTTTTTTTTTGAGAATCCACCTGCAGTTCTTAGCTTGACAGCAAGGGTAGCTTAATGCAGGCAGGCCGATGAAACAGGTGGAGAAAGAACTCCGTGGGAATAGAGTTAAAAGAAGAGTCACTTTTTTTTTCTCCAGGCCCTCAGAACAGACGTTGAGAGAAGTTGCCAATGCCCTAGAGGCGTGGGACCAGCTCCGAAAAGCAGCACATGTGGCTGAGGGCTGGGCTGGGCTGGAGAGCAGCTGCGGGAATCTATCAGAGCAGGAGGAACCATTTAGGGATCATCTCACGTAATGACATGATGCTCAAGATGAGGAAAAAGAGGCCCAGTGGAAGAGTGTTTGCCTAACACCACACAATATGCAGAAGGGCAGAGAAGTAGATCAGATCAGCAGAGGCCAAGCAACAGCCTATGCAACGCTTCCTCCTCTCAGCAGCGATGTGTCAGAATTATTAAATGGGTCACTTGAACAGGGCAGAGGGGAGCTCAGAGCACCAGCCCATCTTCAGCTGTCAGGTGGGCTGGGCCCTATGGGAGGCCTGGAGAAGCAACTCCCAGCCTCTGAGGGAGGAGGAGACGGAGGGAAAGCAATGTGGCCCGAGATGCCAGGCTACCACAGAGGACTACAAGGCAGCCAGACCACGCCCGGAGGAAGCAAAGGCTCCAGCTAGGAGGATGCCAGCAGGAAGAGATTTAGGGGCAAAGCGAAAGAGACTACGGGGTGTTCTGTGGAGCAGACACCCATTGCCAATGCTCCTGAGGTTCCTGGTCAGGGCCTGGCATGATAGTGGTGTTCAGGCAGCAGGACAAAAGGAGCAACTGAGGGAAGTGAGAGGTCATGGGACCTTCAGCATGGTCGGTTTGTACTAAAGAAGAAACAGCCAGGTAGACCCTATCCCATACGGGACTTGGTGAACAGGAAGTGCCACCCTACGTAGACTCACAGGGCTAGGCCTCTACACACCAGTAAGATTCTGGGTACCAGTAACCAGTAATGCTAAATGACATAGTGCTGTTGTAGTTAAGTGCCATCGAGTCGGTTCCGACTCATAGCAACCCTGTATAAGGTTGCCAAGGAGCGACTGATGGGTTTGAACTCCCAATCTTGTGGTTCAAACTGACTCTGCGGTCCAGGACATTATCCAACAATGCCGAACCACAGAATGAACCTGTAACCACCCTCCGGGTCTGGAATGAAACTCTCCCTCCTCATGGCCCAATTTTCAGCCAAGCAGTAAACAGGTACATAGGCGGGACAGCACTAGTGAGGTCTGCTCACCACGGAATGGTCAATCATTCAAGATCAAAGCTGAGAAGGGGTGGGACGGTGGGTGGACTGGAATGGAAACAGGAAGCCCAGGGGGGCAGTGGGAAAACTTGTCGCATGGAAGGGATGGCAATCATTGAGATGAAACCGAGGGGTACTTTGTTGAATGTAAAACTGATGATCTTGCCTGGAACCCTTCACTCAATTCACAAGTTAAAGAACAACAAACACAAAGAGCAGAGAATGAAGACCACTCAGGAAGGCCAGCCACATTTAAGAAGCAGGAAGAACAAGAGACAGCAAAGGAAACTAGCAACGGTGACTCTGGGTGTCAGGGATGATGATGCGACAGCAGCAGCCACAGTAAAGGACACCTTCCAAAACTGGAGGGAGACATAGATGCCTTTTCTACATTGAGTCTCCTCTGAAGTTAAATGGAAAACTGAATTTTCTGAAATAATAAGGAAGAGGTCCAAATTATCTAGTGATATTCTAGCAGATCAAAACCAATGGTGGAAAGTTCAAAAGGTTTCTAAGGTTTGACTCATCTTGACAGCGTACTCTACGTATGGTGGGATAAGAAACTACCGCCATCAGCTGTCAACACTCCCAGAGGTAAGCAGAGATCCAAGGGGTGATCCTGAAGGCCATGTCGGTCTCTATGTGTCCGTGTTTGACTCAGTCCTTACAGCAAGCGAACGTACTATATAATCATCTTTTCAAATACGGAATACAGCAGAATGTAACCTTAACCAAACCAAACTTGCAGCTGTAGAGTCTATTCCAATTCACAGCGACCGTGTAGGTCAGAGGCGACTTGCCCCACAAGGTTCCCTAGGCTGTCATCTTTGGAGGAACAGCCTGCCACTGCTCTCTCCCATGGTGGGCTCCAACCGCCAGACCTTTCAGTGAGCAACTGAGTGCTTAAGCACTATACCACCAGGGCTCCTTGAATGCAACCTAGTGAAGTGAAAAAGGATAGATTGCCGGGACAAAATCCTAAGCTGGCCTGCACTGCAGTCAGCCTGGGACAGCAGTCTTTTTCCTCTATCTTGTCTTGGATGAGGAGACTGCATCTGCTCTCCTTCCTCCACACAAGGCCTCCACCAATACACCCACCTAAAAGGTTGAGTCTGAAAAATAAGCAGGGTTCGCCTTAACCATGCAAAACGAAACACAACTGCACCTAGGAGTGGGCCGTGGGCCAGTCACTAGGTTTTCAAATCAACTGTGTGCTCGGAGCATCACACGGGAAGGTATCGGGTGACGATACAGGAAGCACTCATTTGTGTAGGTGACAGAAGCCAAACCTTACCAATTTCACATGGCTTCAGTTAAAACTTGGAGTCTTGGTGCTGTGGGCTAAAACACTGGACCACAAGGTCAGTTTGAACCACAAGATCAGCTGTTCGAACTCATCAGCTGCTACCTGGAAACCCTATACAGGGTCGCTGTTAAGCTGGAAGCGTCTCAACAGCAATTAACAAGTTAAAACTGAAGATTGATCAATGTTTCCATAGTTGGGTATTAGCCTGATGACCAAGTTACCTGTAGAAACTGACTCAGAGAGAGGACAGTGAAATGGTGGTGACCAGCAGTCCCGGCCTGCCCAAGATGGAGGGAGTTCCTAAGCCCGGAGTGTCAGTGGGAAAACCCAGGAAGTATTGCACAAACCAGGACAAGAAGGTTTCCCTAATGAGGAGACTTCTAAGAGGCACATGTGATCTACTCCTAGTTGTGGCTGGGATCAAGATGCGCAGCACACGTACCATATAGAACCCTTACAAAATCTACTCCCAGTCCACCCCCGTCAACAATTTACCTGCTGCTTCAGTTGGACTTCCTGCTGTTTCATTTGTTCGTATTTGTGCCTTGATTCAGTTGCCTCTTTTAATAACTGGAAGACAGAAACATTCTGGCAAAATTCTAGTAGTAACTACAAATATGACTACGATGTCAAATGAGCTGCGAATGAGGCTCAATCCTCATTGTTTTTGCAGAACTCCGCAGACTCATCATGAACCATCTTGTGATTAGGTAGGCATGGCCAAGCACAGGGCTGAAGGCAGGAATCATCTGTTACTGTTTCAGTAGAAACAAGTACGGTTACAGAACTCAGGGTGAACTTGTGCTTTAGGTGCGAACAACTGGGTGCCTCGTTTTATTAGCAGAAAAAATAGCTTGGAATTTTGACATCCTGTGGCGTGTTTATGATTCACAGACCTTGGATTTTAAGAAAAGTCGGGAGAGAAGTGGCACAGTAAGCAGTAGTGAAATTCAGGCTCTGAAGTGAGAGGTCACCCAGTCCTGGTTAGCTTTGAAAAGTCCTTAAAGCAACCAGAAAGTAGACATGTAACACGTGTGTGTGTGTGTGTGTGTGTGTGTGTGTGTGCGCGCGCGCGCACGCGCCTAGGTAACTTCTCCTCAACACTGGGGACCCTGGCCATCATTTCTGCAGTTGAGCACTGGCTGCCATTATCAGCTGGCACACAAGGTCCATGCTGTGGAAAATATCTTTCTGTAAACCCTCGCCCTACACTCAGCAGATGCTCTCCTCATAAGGGTCACCGGGGACTGTCTTCCAAGCCCAGGCTCCACTCGGGGCCTATGTGACCTGAGTGAAACACTGGAATGAAGAGCCCACATTCTTGGCATGATTTTTCTCCTTTAGTAGTTTGATGGCCATGCCCGAAGAGGTGAATTTACACACGGGAAGTACACAGACTCAGTGAGAACCCAGTGTGTTAACAACTGGCGGGCAATATAATCTGAGCACATACACTGTGGGAACAATTCTGAGGATGAGGTAATAGAGGATTCTGTTCAATTGTCATCAGAAAACTATACCGGTGTAAGTAAACAAATCATTCCCTTAGGTTCAAATGACTTGCTTAAAAGCAAACAGTAATAGTCTACGGGAGCCTAATGTAGGGTAAACTCCCTATTCCACTAAATTGCTGCCCCTCATGCTCAAGATCTAACTTGCCAAATAACTGGCACAATTGAGAAAGGGAAGTCAGTCTTCTAAGCACAGAAAACTCAAGCAGGTACAGGTCTTTCTACTAACTTGGTCTCTTTCACCAGGGCATCTGCTAGTATAAAATATTTCAACATACACTCCCAGACCTCAGTGCCCAGCAAGCCACTCACAATCACGCCCGGGCGCAACGTTAAATACACAGTAAGTTTCAAGGCTTTCAATGGTTTGGGTTGCAATGTTGACAACAATTCCCCCCGACCAGAGACAAAACTTACAAACTCTCTCTCTCTCTGATGTTTTTCATCCGCTTCTTTTATGAGCTGTGTTGTCTGTTGAAGTTTGGCATCCACAAGCTGTTGCTGTAGCTCCTTATGTTTGAACACTTTATCAATATGCTGCAGGAAAAGTCAAACGTCTGCCATCACTCAGTGAATTAAGATACTTGAGGTGGAAAGGACACCACACAAGTTACAGTGCCTTGCTTGTCCTGCTTGGACCACCAGAGCAACCAACACTGGGGCCTTCTGTCCATATGCCTGCACAAGTGTCAACTCAACAGCACAGCAACCGTGCATGTGCTCCTGTGGGAGGTGGGCTGTCCCCATCAGTGACCTTGGCAATCGCCACCTTTAGAATAAGTTCTTATTTCTGCCCTACATTGAAAATAAGGCTCCAACTGCATCAAGAAAAAGACAAATAAGGAGCTGAAACTATCAAACTCATTCCTCATACACATAATTCCTGAATCCTCTTTTCTTGTACTTAGGGTGTCCTCCATTTTATAGTTGGAGGCAGCACGGTATAATGGTGGGGGTGGGCAGGCTTAATCCCTAGCTAAGTAGGTTGTTGTTGTTAAGTGCCGTGGAGTCGGTTCTGATTCATAGTGACCCTGCATAGGGTTTCCAAGGCTGTAAATCTTCACGGGAGCAGAAAGCCTCATCTTTCTCCCATGAACAGCTGGTAGTTTCGAACTGCTGACCGTGAAATTAGCAGGCCAATTCGTAACCACTACGCCACCAGAGCTCCTGGGCAAATGCACCTTGCTTAATCTCAGTTCCCCATTTGTCAAAGGGGATGCCCACATGCACCCTGTAGTTGCTGCAAAAACAAAGGCAATGGCTGAACTATGGAAGGTACTTGG